AACATGAAGATTTTGGATTTGTTTGTGATCCTCCTGTACGGTAAGAAAAGCTTCCTTTAGACTTATGACACACACACATATTTACACAAGCACACACACGCACACAGTCAGACAGGTTTGTGCATGTTGATCAGGAAGATAAGTTCTCAAATGCTGCAGGTTATTCTCGCATAGTTAAAGCCAAAAGAGGGAATTGTTATTTGTTTTAGGACCAAGTGTATGTTTGCACCAGACTTTTACCATAAGAAGTATGTAAATGGGACAAAACTGAACTGTAGTCCTCTCATTTTTAAAAACAATGACGGGACTCAAACACAAACACACTGAAACTGAGTAAAATCTAAAGTCCAGCTGTAATCCAGGCCTGAGTTAGAAACAGTAAGACAGTCAGTGGGTAAAAAAACACAGGCAAGGGGGAGAGATGACAGACAAAATATAAAAACAGCAAAAGGTACACACACACACACACACACACACACACACACACGGTATTATTATAGACAGAAACCTCTCTTGTAAACTTGAACACTTGTAAGCCGTCCAGCATTTTAAACACTACATTTAAATAACTTAAAAAAAAAAACACCTTTAAAGAGACCTCAGACTTTCATTACCATGGAGACACTTCATTACATCACCCACACAGAAGACACAAACGGTTTCACTGTTTAGCTGTTCATGCAGCCGTTATATATTTGAATACAGGTGTTATACATGGTTCATCAGGGACCAAGCACACAAATTCATTGTAAAAGGACTGGTAGAGAGAATGTGTAGAAGCAGCATCACTGCCATTCAGACTTTCATCCATTAAAATGAATGTTCTCAGTCACCAAACATCTTGGAAATAGTCTTTGAGCATGAAGAATCCCCGTCTGTCACTGGTGGGCAGATAAACTGAATCCGTTGATACAGCCATCCTTGGATGTGTATCTGAGGCAAATGATCAGACGGAGCAGGTGGTGGTCAACCTCCCAAGGAAACCACACCTCATCCAAAGTTTGGGCATGGAGGTGGTCACCACGTACAAGCTACTGGGTGTTCACCTTAACAATAACCTGGATTGCTCAGAAAACACTCAAACTCGGCACCAGGACCAAAGTCGACTGTGCTGACAGGCTGAAGTCTGCAGGACATTAATCTGCAATCTTTTATCCAGAGCTCTGTTGTGGAGGCGGCAGCAGAGAGAGGGGCAGGTAACGGCTAAATAGCCTGGTGAAGAGGGCCGGCTCTGTCCTGGACAGTCCCCAGAACCCAGAGAAGAGGTGGGTGGGCTATTATGCACAACATCTCTCATCCCTGCATGAGACTGTGGATGGA